TGGGCTAGCAGGGGGCTGCGGGTCGGGAGTGAGGGGCACCGGCAGAGTTGGGGGGTGGACCCAGGCTGGGCTAGCAGGGGGCTGCGGGTTGGGAGTGAGGGGCACTGGCAGAGTTGGGGGGTGGACCCAGGCTGGGCTAGCAGGGGCTGCGGGTCAGGAGTGAGGGCAGAGCTGGGGGGTGGACCCAGGCTGGGCTGGCAGGGGGCTGCGGGTCGGGGCTGAGGGGCACTGGCAGAGCTGGGGGTGGGGAAGCAGGGGGGGCTGCGGGTCGGGAGTGAGGGGCACCGGCAGGGCTGGGGGTGGGGAAGCAGGGGGGGCTGCGGGTCGGGAGTGAGGGGCACCGGCAGGGCTGGGGGTGGGGAAGCAGGGGGGGCTGCGGGTCGGGGCTGAGGAGCACCCTCCTACCTTGCAGCCCCCGAACCAGGCCAGCTCCGTGTGCAGCACCATGAGCAGGATCCCCCCGAGCGCCAGGGCCAGGCCCCAGCCCGCCAGCTGCCCCTCGGCCTTCAGCAGCCCCTTCCGCAGCTGCAGCCGGCGCAGGTTCTCGCCCGGCGCCCCCGGCACGGGCAGGACTGTGGCTTCGGGGGGGTTCTGCTTGACTCCCATCTCATGGGCGTAGGGGGGCACGGGCAGGCAGGGGGCGAGGGACCCCCCGGCGGGCCCCCATCGCTGGCGCTTCAGCAACCAGCACGCAGCCAGTGTGAGGCCGGGGGGCACAAGCCCTAGGCGGGCTGGCAGGGGCACGGAGCAGAAAGGGGGGGACAGAGGAAAAGAGAGAGCTGGAGAAATCGAGGGGGTGGGAAAGGAAGGAAGGAAGGAAGGAGGGGGTGAGAGTCACTGCGAAAGGCCGGGCGGCAGAGAGAAGCGGGTGAGTGGGGAGAGACGGCACGCGAGCGAGTCAGCCTGGCAGAGCGGTGCTGGGACCGCGGGAACGGGACAGCCCCAGAAAGAGACGGCGGAATAAAGGGAGCGGGTGAGACCGAGAAAAGGAGGGAATTTGGAAGAGATGGGCAGAGAGAGAAGAGAATGGAGGGAGTGTAGAAGAGAAAGAGATGGAGTGATAACAAGATAGAAGGAAGGTGGAAGAGAGACAGATGAAGGGGTGTTAGGACAGAGGGAAGGTGGCAGGGGCAGGCGGAGGGAAGGTGGCAGAGGAAGGTGGAGGGAAGGTGGCAGGGGCGGGCGGAGGGTAGAAGTACGGAGGGAAGGTGGCAGAGGAAGGTGGAGGGTAGAAGTACGGAGGGAAGGTGGCAGACCCAGACAGGCAGGCGAAAGGCAGCAGTGGGAGGGGAGAGGGAGAGGGTGGCAGGCGGAGGGGTGGAGCGGGGGGATCCCCAGCTGGGCAAGGGCACCTGGCAGCTGCTGGGCTCGGCTCTGGGTCGCTCCCTTCTCTGCCCCGCCGCGATCTGCCCTGGGTGCGGCAGGGCAGGGCGAGGGTTGGCGGGGAGGGGAGGGGAGGGACTTGAAGGAGCAGCAAGTGTCCTGGGACGAAAAGGGGCGGGGGAAGGAGCCCAGGGCTGGGGTAGCAGGGGCTGCGGGTCGGGAGTGAGGGGCACCGGCAGAGC